AAACAACTTGTTCTGAATAACCAAAAGGCTTAGGATGTTGATATTTAGTCAGTAGCATGCTGGGATCAAGGACTACTATGTTTGTTAAAGTGAATGACTTTGACTTATATTCAAGGTCACAGGGGTCAAATTTGTTTAAAATCTTTAATCGACCTCTTCTGAATAACCATGGGTCCCAGGATGTTGATACTTTGCAAGTTGCATCCTGAGATGAAAGGCTATAAAATTTGTTTAACATAATGACTTTGTTCGACTTTCAATCACAGGGGTGAAATGTTTAAAAAAAAAATAACAGGTTCTTTTGAATGAATTTTAATCATAAATACTGATATTTTATTTTGCCTGTAGCTTTATTTTTGATCACTTTTAAGGTTACAAGTGTGAGATTTATACCAGGTGAGCGATGCAGGCCCATTGGGCCTCTTGTTTACACAAAAAAAAACTGTTTATCGGAATGCTTAGATTTTCATAAAATCATCTCTACAAAATAACATAACCATCATGTGAAACTTTCATTGAATTCTGATGGCTAATTGCGAAAGGGTGGAGCCTCCTTAAAGAAATACTTATAAGCAGGATATATATTTTTAAAGTCCAAACAGGCATAAAAATAACATAATCGAATATATTACACTTACATGTACCTGCATTTTAAATAAAACTGCATTACCATTAGTTGCTATCCTTCTTCTAATAAGTTTTTAAGAACAGTCTTAAAACGGTTTACTTATTAGTATAGATTAATGGAGAATATATATATATATATGTTATACATATGAGATATAAAATATGTTATGTGACAAATCGCTTACTGATTTTACTAATATACTGATATACATGACCAAGGTAGATAGAAATTAGGTCAAAATAAAGACTGTTACCCTGGTACTTGAAAGATTCAAGAAATGTTAGATCTAAATGTGAGATTATCAATTTAACGAATATACACAATAATGATAATACAACCTAGAAACAGTATGGATAGGTGGGGTAAATGATACAGACATAAATATGTGGTTTATTGTTAAGGGTACACCTTCCCAACACTGAAGGAGGCAGATGCCATGTTTACTGCAGAAAAGGCCCCAGAGTGGAAAGAAGGTGACGTGTGTAACCGCTGTAGGACAAAGTTTGGTACATTTAACAGACAGGTAACTCAATTCTTCTTCTTATATATTGCTTAAAATTTGAGCAAAATAAAACCAAAATCAGTCGTGTTCATAAAAAAAACTATTATTTTGAAATTAATGAAATGTGTTGTTTTTCTTACAGCACCACTGCAGGAATTGTGGTGAAGTTTTTTGTTCCAAATGTTCGTCTAAGAATTCCATCATACCCAAGTTTGGAATTGAGCGAGAGGTTCGTGTCTGTGATTCCTGTTACGACACCATCAACAAGTGAGTCAAGTTACCGGTATTGGAATGCATTTATTTGTCAGTTGTTGATGATTCAATATAAAAGGCCTAAAATAATACGTGTTTTTCCTGGCAACCTTGTCTACCCTAGGTCTATCCATTGGTGCCTACAAGTCCTAGCCCCTGCAGTGTATATCATGCACAATACTGTATGTAAAAAAAAATGCTTAAAGCCAAATATTTGCCTAGCTGCCCTGTTTTCTATATCAATACTGTTCATTGATGATTACAAATGTTTATGTCTCAATATGATGTTTCTTCACTCTTTATCTGATCAAAGACATCCACTTAATTTGAACCTAATACCTGTCATTTAAAGAACATTGATTTAATCTTAATAACCACTTCTAAAATAAATGTGTAACATACCTAAACAATTTTAAATGATGTTGTAAAGTTGGGTATTTATGTAATAAGCTTTAAAACTAGTATCATATTGCCTATGAATTCCAGACCTGGTGCAAAGAACAGTGAAGGTGGGGAGGATGATCTGCCTGCTGAGTACCTGGCAAGTCCCCTGTCGAAACAGCCCCAGGTAGTAAGTTCTCCTGCTGCTACTAATATCTTCTTCCCAGGGATGTTCTTAGCTCAACCAATACCATCCAGATACATATCATTTGATACAGAAGTAATAATAGTCTCAAGATATTCAAAAAATGATAAATGGACTTGTAAATTTAAACAATGCTAGGTAAGAGCAATTGAAATATTGATCAGCTGAGAGGAAAGTGTGAATTATCACAGAAGTTAATTAAATGAATCAACAAATATGTGATGGTGAAAAACTGAGACATCTATTTACGTTGGTTAAGCATCTAAGAATATTTCTGTAGGTTATTGGGTTCTCCTGATGCTTACTGAAACATATATTCCAGTGTACAATCCTATACATGCATTTACGCTTGGTTACTTGGCCTTTTGAAAATAAATCCCTTTTTGTTCCTTTTTATTTTCATGATAGTGTATGTAAAGAGCTTAATATTTCTCCTGAAAATGTATTTGAATGCTAGCTTTAGAATTGGTCGCTGTACCAGCCATTTTGAGGGGTTTGCACATGGATATAAATAGTCTGTCTACTTTGATTGGCTCGCAAACATACTTTACACGCAGTGATTGGTTACCTGGGGTACATTCGTGTATCCAGTTGAAACGGTTGAACCGGTTGAACCTGTAAAGAAAACGACAGGTACAGATTTGGACCGAGGCTGACCTCAGGAAAATTTGGTACGTGTAGATTGAGGGGTCCAGACGTATCTGACCGAAACTAAAAGGCTGACTATTGCCAATTTGCGTTATTTCTTTCTTAAACAATGTCAAGTCACATGTAATTTTTAAGATACGTTATGTTATTTAGTGGACGCGTGAGAGAAGGATATAATATTCTTGATTCATTGTTATTTATTCTCCGAAACTGTGGATTTTTAGCTCTGCTTATAGAACGGTCTAAGTATGTTCGTTTATCGTGGAAAATTTCTGCGCCACACGTACCGTTTCAACCGGGATATGCGAATGTAGCCCTGCTGTCTGTGATGTCACCATTCGTAGAGGCACAAGTGGGGAAATTAATTGCAAACAAAATGTGATGTATAAAGTCAGAGAGATCTGCATGTTTATACAGGATTGTTGGGCATTGTTCTGTTATTCCACGCCGCCGTTGTTTGGTTATGGTCGGAAATTGATAAAATCAGAGAGCTCCGAATTGGCATATGTGTGTCATTTCAGGGTCATACTAATACCAGAACCAGACGGAAAACCAGGACCAAGTGCTTTAATGTGTTTCTTTCATGTTTTTAAATGCAACTACCTTAATGAATTGATGTGACATGAATAAAAATGTATTTTAGCGCAAGTTTATATAAAAAAGATATACATTGCATTATAATTTAAAACAGAAATCCAAAACATACCAAAAATACCGATCCTGACATTACCAGTCCTGGTTTTAGTAAGAAAGCAAAATCACAAAAGCCGTAATAACAAGTAAAAACAGTATTTGAAACGTATCTTTTTTTATTTTATTTATACATTTAGTATGGTGTTCTTGTATTTCCTACATGAAATAACAACATAAAATAAGCTTTAAAATTGGGTTAATAATACTTAAAATAAATATTTGGTCCCGGTTTTCCCTGTCCTGGTTTTACTAATGATTGTTTTGGTCCTCGCAGGATTTAGGTCACTAAATAAAAAATATTTTCTTATTTATGTGTAAGTATTAATATGTTCTTTTAAATTATATAACAGAAAATTTTTCTAACTTGCGCTATAACTTTTTTTTTTTTTAAACATGCTGGTCCGGACAATCCGGTTCTGGTATTAGTGTGACCTGCTATCTTACGTCGTAATTGTCATTGATCCTTATATTCTAAGTAGTACTATTCATTGGTTGCATGCTATATTCATTTATCTCTTTCTCATTGGATAGTGATGCCCCTGCTAGGGCATTTACACTAAATCACGTCATGTATATATTATGTAACAGGGTTTGTACAGGTCTTGAAAAGGCCTGTCCCTCAACTGAGGAATAATCCTGCAGTTATGCGACGTAACCTTGTTCACAGCATGCGTATGAGAGAAACTCCACAGTACCACCTGACCAACAGGTTAACAGTTGTCCGCTCGTGGACGCACTCACCACCAAATTATATATATTTTAAATAAACTCTCAGCATAACTACGCGAGCTTCTACATACCAATCTATCTCAAACTTTACTATAACTGCTTACTAATAAATAATTCTGCTGGTAGCCCTCGCAGCTTTTTGGAAAGCTAATGCTTGTTTGATTTTATAATTATTGTAATTGTCTGCAATAAAAATTCTGGTTAGTAAACAAGTGAGGTATAAACATGAATCAAATCAGAAATAAATGTGTGTGATTTACAAAATAGAATTGATAAGGTTTTTTTAGGATTCCTTATGTCATGGTTAGAGGAACTTACCCAGAGGGGTAACAATAAAAACTTTATAATCTTACCAAGAGGGGTAACAATAAAAACTTTATAATCTTACCCAGAGGGGTATCAATAAAAACTTTATAATCTTACCCAGAGGGGTAACAATAAAAACTTGATATTCCCAATTTCAGGTTAAATTCTCCCAGTTTGATAACCTTTGAAAATATGGCTGTATTGTGTTAAATAATCCAAGCTCTGTATACGTATACAGTATAAATTTTGTCAATAACATAAGATGGATATGTACCATAATCATTTCACAGTATCATGTACATGGATTCTGCAGCTTTATCTAATGTGCATCCAACACTTTCTCTTTAATTTCATCTGATCACTAAGTTAAGAATACAACCTTACAACAATGGCCTTCAAATACTGGTAGCAAGAATATTTTTCTTAAATTTCTTTTTAAGAAGGAAGATTTTTACCAAAGAAATAAAGATCATCCTTCTGTATATGTGTTGTTATTATTTTAGTTTAAAAACTAAGGTATATAAAAACCATGCCAGTGAAACTGCAAATTCAACTCGACAGTGAATTCTAATTTTACTAAAATACTCTTATAATATCAGAAAGCTGATTTTAATCTGCAATGAATAGTTTTTTCACCAAAACGTTGAAATAAGACCTGTTGAAATGAAAGAACAATATGTACTGTCTTTGGCAATTATTTTCTTTTTGAAATAATTCAAATTCAAATTTATTTATTTTTCAACAATTTTGGCAAAAGTTTATCTGCTTATATTAATCATTCTTGTTGGTCTGGATGATAGAGTAAAAGGGGATTTAAAAATGTGTAACTGTCAAATCTTGAGACTTGGTCAAAGTTCAACAAAATAGCTTCAGATCTGTTGTATATATATGCTATCACAGCGACTTGACACGTTCCTATGACCCAGAATGAAAGGTATGTTTTTTCAGTCTGGGTCATAGCTATAGGAACGTGTCAAGTCCCTGTGTACGCAATATCATGTGGATATGCTCAACGAAACAGTCTAATATGGCAATTAATTGATATAGATATATATGTTTGTGGATTGAAACATTTATGTATATATTTCACACGTATACATTTGCATGTTACAAAAGTCAAGCAAATGAGTTGTCGAATCTTGCACCGTTCTATGATATTGCTTTTCAGTGCAGCGGTCGGTATGGACTGCATTCAAGCATGTGTAATATTCTTCATTTTGCCCTCTTGTTGTCAGAAATACCATTACAGTTCACGAAAATGTGGATAAGTACACATTCAACGAAACATTCAAGTCATGACACATGGTTTGAAACATGTACTTGCAATGTAAATTTTACATTTCCATATACGTGTATGCGTAATCTAAGTTGACAATGCGCTCAAACAACAAATCTCTGAAAAAGATACAATGTTGTACACTGCTTCTGAAATCAAGGACGACACCGAACTCAAACGTTCTATCGACCAATTGACGAGCCAGTTGCAGTGAGTGAAACGCTGAAACAGCTGTTCGGTTTGTGGGCGTGTTCTTTTTTAACATGGCTTGTTGACGCCGCGACGATTTTGATTGTAAATAACCCAAAAGGCTAGGGTGATGATTTTTGGCCAGTAACATATAGGGATGAAGGCTACCAAGTTTGTTCAATTTAATGATGTTGACTCATAGTCATGACTCAAGGTCACAGGGGTCAAATATGCTAAAAAATTAAACAGTCTTCTGAATAAAAAAAATGCATTCCAAAGTGATATTTGGCCAGTAGCATACTCCGATAAAGACTTATCAAGTTCGTTCATGTGAATGACCTTCACCTACTTTGAAGGTCACAGATGGTGAAATGTATATAAACAATGTTTAGGGTGGTGCTATATGGGAAGTTGCATGCTTGGCTGAAGGGTTACGAAGTTTGTCCAACTTAATGACCTTGTAAGACTTTCAATGTCATAGGGGTCAGCTGTGTTTAAATTTGTTAACAAGTTATTTTGAATGAGTCATATATCCTGATATTTTGCCTGTATCTATATTTTTGTCTACTTTCAAGGTTATAAGTGTGAGATTAATACCAAGTTAGCAATGCACACCCATTGGGCCTTTTGTTATTTATCTGCTTACACAAGCCACTAATTCTGGCAGATTCAGGAAATAGTGTCAGGAAAGGAGGATGCAGCATCTGGAGGAGGGTTTTTCCTTTAATTAATTAATCATCATATGTTGTTAGGGGGGGGGGGGGGGGGGGCAAGAAAATATTTAAAATGTAAAAGAAAATGTCAGTGACATATATTTCATATACGATGGGATTAAAATATGCTTAAAATGCTCGGAGATGTGTAGTACACATCCCTGAAATGCTTCAGCAATGTATAAAAAAAAGTCAAAGTCAACTTAATGGGGAGAGGATCAGTGTCTCCTTTGGTTTCAATTAAAATTAAAAAGATGGTTACTTTGCAAATATTTAAAAAAAAATGAATTTCAACTGGTGACAGTGAGCTATTTTTCTATCTTTCTTAAAATTTGGAAAATACATTTTAGGCCTACAGCCTACTGTACTCATTTTGGACTAAGATTTACTGATTAGTGATGACTTTGGTCTTTCAATGTAAATGGTGATACATGTATTGCATTCTGAAAACTGTCTATTGTGAATACATGTTTTATTTCTATGGCCGTATTGACGATTCATATTATTGATTAAAATTGTGTCCCTATGATAATTTCGACAGGTTTCTTTTTCAAGAGTTGTGTTCTGTAAATATCTTTTGAGACAATCCTCGAAGCTGGATCGCTTACACGCTTTAACAGTTGTGGAATGCGTACAAATCATTGTGACGACTGTGACTAAATTCCAAGATGGCGTACAGGGTAAATAATATTGAATGTCAAGAGACGAAAGCATGATTAGAAGTTCACCTACTGCTGTTGGTAAAGTTTTTTAAACAAAACTATTATGTCTTTCAATCATGTTCTTCTGTTTGATAGCATATTTTGTGTTAAAGAGGGATACAAATACCTAGATGACCGTTTCCGCAATGTTATGTTGACAGGTGCCCTCGGGGTGCGGATTGGCACCGACTCATTCAATGTGACAGTGTTCTTCGCTACTCAGAATAACTCTGCGTATATGTCTTTATCTATGACAAAGCATCATCGTACACATTTTCATTTTAAAAATGCCTAAGACATCTGCTTTCGACATGTAGAGACTATAATAATTTCCATATAAAGTATATCCATATACATTACTTTAGGTAATATGGCTTCTGCTCATGACATCTATCTATCTATGTTATACTCCACAGAGACCAAAATGGTTTTATCCCTTGCTGAGTTTGTGATTAAGATATATTCTTATATTTTTTCATAGTGGTTTTATACATTTTACACTCATGATTTAAATAATTAACTTCATTTTGCAAAAACCATTTTCATGAATTACAATTTAAAGAAAGATTTATGAAGGTGAACTTAGGTCTAACTCTATGTGATCAGGTCTAATACACTCTGCCGATTGAGCTATATAGCTGTTAAGACCTACAATAGCTCTATTGTCCTATCTGAAAGAGGCCTTTTGAGCTTTTTTCATGTCATTTTCTTTTTTTAGGAAAACGAAACAAAGTCGCTTTTAAAAGAAGATTTTATCATTAGCTAGATAACAAAAGACATCAAATATAAGTACTCTTTTAAAAAATAATGATGAAAATTTTACAAAAAATTAACATTTTAAAATAAACATCTAAATGTATACTTTTTTTAGTCAACATTACCATAAACCTTATTGTTTTATGCGACTTTGCTTTAATATAATGAAAATTGAAACCTGAGAAAATATAGCTAAATACAGCTATAATTTATAGGTGAATATAGCTATATATAGGTCTTTATAGCTATACAACTCAATCGACAGAGTGTACTGGACCTGGTGATAACACCTTGTATTTTCACATATAACTTTATTTCTTCAGATTTTCATTGATTTTGAAAAATAACTTAGATTTATTAAATTATACCCTGAGGAATGCATTTCAAGCAAAAGAGAATATAGTTCTTTTCAAGTAAATAATAAATTGCTATAAATAATTAGATATCACTTATAGTCTGTTAAAGGGACTTTTTTGACTGAAACATGCTTCTTTTTTACCATGTCACAAAAACCTTCATAATAATATAGTTTGACACTCCTCCATATGAACATTGTGTGCCAAGATGTTGACATGAGTCTTTGTTTTTTGGTGTTTTTAGTTAGATTACTAATGAAGAAATCATTAATAGTATGGCTATACACTTTAGTGATAGGTTGTTGATATACTTCAAACTACCTGAACATGTGCAAAGATTCATTTTTGTAAATAAAATATCTTCCCAGTAAAGACAACATAGGTAAATTCAAGGTCACAAAACATCATTGAAATCAAGTACAGGCACTTATTCTGAATCAGTAGCATTATCCTAGAACATCTCAACTATATACATATGTATTGGTATATGTATGTTTAGCCAATTATAAATATATACATACTAAAATCCTGTTTTGTGTATAGGCTACATTTTCAAATTCAACCAATGGTGCCCTCTTCTGTGCATATAGATTTATTCAATACAATACATATAATTTCAGTTTGCAATGTACATCTGTATGCTATAAATTTAAAGTAACAAGAACTTTACCACACAGTATACACTATGTTGTTTCCCACTGGTTGTGGTGCTATTTTTGTTAAAGCTATATTTATCATCGGTTTTCCCTTGAGATAAAAATGTCATCAGTAGTCATCAGATTTTGGTCATCTTGATATAATGTATCTGCTGTTTTTTGTTAAGAGAAATATGTTTTTGATATCTTACTGATTTCAAGGGCATTATTTGACTAAATAACCCCTTATAATGTCATAAGCTCAATACATATTACTTCCTATATGTAAACTGTTTTATCACATTGTTTTGATGTACATTACAACAAAATCCTTTACTGTTAACTTTTAAGTAGTTTTGGACATTACAAAATAGTTTTGAATAGTACACACACATTGTTAACAACTACCAGGACATTTCCCCTAACATTGTAATGTTAACCACTACCAGGACGTTTTCCCCTAACATTGTAATGTTAACCACTACCAGGACGTTTTCCCTAAATTGTAATGTTAACCACTACCAGGACGTTTTTCCCTAACATTGTAATGTTAACTACTACCAGGACATTTTCCCTAACATTGTAATGTTAACCACTACCAGGACGTTTTCCCCTAACATTGTAATGTTAACCACTACTAGGACGTTTTCCCCTAACATTGTAATGTTACCCCCTACTAGGACGTTTTCCCCTAACATTGTAATGTTACCCACTACCAGGACGTTTTCCCCTAACATTGTAATGTTAACCACTACTAGGACGTTTTCCCCTAACATTGTAATGTTACCCACTACTAGGACGTTTTCCCCTAACATTGTAATGTTAACCACTACCAGGACGTTTTCTCCTAACATTGTAATGTTAACAACTACCAGGACGTTTTCCCCTAACATTGTAATGAAAACAGGATACAAAAAGTTGGTCACTTGACTCATTTGTTAGTTTACTACTGCTGCTAATTCAGTTTCAGTGTATTTGTATGTCTTGAACTAGCTATATAGATTCAAACCATTTAAGTATATAGATGCTATGGGTAAACCAGCACTTTGGTTGACAGTCTTCCTTCCTCATAGTGTGTTCCTTGTGTTAATGTCTCCCTTGGATGAAGTTGAAGTATGTGTGGTTTTGTTGCATATTTTAATATTGATTTTTCAAGGTTCCTCAACAGAAGACTGAACAAGAAATACAGGAGGAGGAAGAATTACAGCTGGCCATAGCTCTGTCTCAAAGTGAACACGAGACCAAGGAAAAGGAGGCAAGTCATGGAGCATTAATGCTATATATATAGCAGCTATTCATTAAACTGTCATATATAAAATGGAGCTGCTTTGCAATTTCAACTGAGCTTGCATTGAATTGCCACTAAAAAAGTCAGTAAAAAAGCATATTGTGTTCAGTAAGGTAATAGGTTCATGGAGATATGGAACAGCAGACTGACAGATAACGTGATTAACTCCCTGTAAAATATAAATCTATTGCTTCAGATACTGATTTAGTCACCCAGTGTTCACAAATATACACAGCATGTTGAATCATTAACGCTGTTACAATTTGTGAACTACCTGAAGTAATTTCTAAAGAAGTTGTTCCATTTTCATCAGTACACATGAAATATATGTTCCAACTCGGTATGATACACATCTGTGGTTCATCATGCATTACTACTGGAGAGGACTCGCCAATTCGACTATTCATGTCTGTATTCTCTTTTCTGTATCACACCTGTCCTTCAGTTTGAAAAGTTTGTCTTGGGGTATATTGTCTATACAGATCACAAGGCGTCATCAACTTTATCATAGCTTAGAGATCTTGATAATGAGGGTCCCTTTTTTATGATGACCAAGATTTTCAATTGTTTCAGAGGTCACGCCTGAGGAAGAACTACGGTCTGTACAGTAGCAGTACTAATGACAGACCAGCATCACCAGCCTCCGAACCAAAGGTCCAAACAGTGGTCAGCATTTCTTTTTTATTTGTTTTTCTACATCATTGTTTGAAGTGTATATTTGCACATCAACACATTGAACCCTCAGATCTTCATTCCTGGTTTTCGAAACATTCATCTATGGCCAAATCTTGTTATTGTGATGTATTAAATTTTTCTCCTCTATTCAAAAGAATCAATTTCATGATCATACTCTGAAAACCATGGGTAATTGTACATTATATTAACATCATTAGCACACATGAATATTGTACATAACTTCCTACAGTCAATCATAAACACCTTTGTGAGGTATGTTTCTAAAATTGTATAAGAGAAAGGATCAAATTCAGTTATTTGACCACAAATCAATCTAAATTAATGTTACCTCAGTAATCACTTTTCTTGTGTTATTTTTTTGCTTTCATTTCCCATACATGACAAAAAACAGACTTGGATATCTGTGTTCATTATTATTCATCATATAATATTCAAGTATGTGACTGTAACCCTTTCAGACTGTGTCTGCCCCTATGATAGATACATCGGATATGGATCCTGAACTTGCTCGCTATTTAAATCGTAATTACTGGCAACAGAGATCGGATGACAGTAAAGGCCAAGCACCCACTACACAGCCTTCCGCCCCAGTGGTTGCTGCAGAGCCCAAAGTGGCTGGAGGGAAAATTCTTGAGGTAAGGTCAGACGTTATACTGTGTTCTTATCACTTAGCTAGAATTGGGGGTGACTAAAGATTTGTTTTATGTCAATCGATCTTTAAATAACCAAAAATATGTAACTTGACTGTAATACAGTAAAAAAAGTTGGGTGTACACATCAACATCTGATTCTGATCATGTGTTGTGTTATGTTTATGTATCACTATCAGATCAATATTACATGGGATTGTTCTCCACAGCACTCGCTAGATAAGGAAGTTTTATACACCAGTTTCGCCAGTTATGGCTTGTCAGGGCAAAGCGACAACCAAATATAGACCAAGAAGTACCCTGAAAGTGATACCCTGTACATGTGATGTATTTTTGTAAAGTTGGATAAAAACTGAAGTTGTTTTACATAGATAAGTAGTGAATTGTGTAATAGATCAAACTTATCCCCAGTTTTCCTGCTGATCTCGACATTCCAAATTTTTCAAAAGAATTTTCTAATACAGTTAAGTCATGTAACTGACCACCATAAATCAATGAAATACTGTTTTCAGTCCTACCAGAATGGTGAGTCTGAGGATGACCAGGAACAGTTCCTACGAGCTCTTCAAAGCAGTTTGGAAATCTTTGTCAACCGTATGCGTAGCAATTCCCAGCGTGGTCGTAGTATTGCTAATGACTCGTCCGTGCAGTCTCTGTTCTCTGTTATAAGTAACATGCATCCTCAGCTGATGAAGTACACACAGGAGCAGGAGGACCTCCGAGGTAAACACATACATTTTATGCTGGTATATACACTTCAATTTAAATTCAGTTTATAATGGTAAACATTATATTATAAATTAAATTTATACTGGTATACGCTTTACAGTGATGAATTAAGTTTATGCTGGTATACACTTTACAGTGATGAATTAAGTTTATGCTGGTTTACGCTTTAAGGTGATGAATTAAGTTTATGCTGGTATACACTGTACAGTGATTAATGAAGTTTATTCTGGTATACACTTTACAGTGATTAATTAAGTTTATGCTGGTATACGCTTTACAGTGATGAATTAAGTTTATGCTGGTATACACTTTACAGTGATGAATTAAGTTTATGCTGGTTTACGCTTTACGGTGTTGAATTAAGTTTATGCTGGTATACACTTTACAGTGATGAATGAAGTTAATGCTGGTATGCACTTTACAGTGATGAATTAAGATTATGCTGGATATACTTTACAGTGATGAATTAAGTTTGTGCTGGTATATACTTTACAGTGATGAATTAAGTTTATGCTGGTATACCCTTTACAGTGATGAATTAAGTTTGTGCTGGTCTATACTTTACAGTGATGAATTAAGTTTATGCTGGTATATACTTTACAGTGATGAATTAAGTTTATGCTGGTATACCCTTTACAGTGATGAATTAAGTTTGTGCTGGTATATACTTTACAGTGATGAATTAAGTTTATGCTGGTATACCCTTTACAGTGATGAATTAAGTTTGTGCTGGTATATACTTTACAGTGATGAATTAAGTTTATGCTGGTATACCCTTTACAGTGATGAATTAAGTTTGTGCTGGTATATACTTTACAGTGATGAATTAAGTTTATGCTGGTATACCCTTTACAGTGATGAATTAAGTTTGTGCTGGTATATACTTTACAGTGATGAATTAAGTTTATGCTGGTATACCCTTTACAGTGATGAATTAAGTTTGTGCTGGTATATACTTTACAGTGATGAATTAAGTTTATGCTGGTATACCCTTTACAGTGATGAATTAAGTTTGTGCTGGTATATACTTTACAGTGATGAATTAAGTTTATGCTGGTATACCCTTTACAGTGATGAATTAAGTTTGTGCTGGTATATACTTTACAGTGATGAATTAAGTTTATGCTGGTATACCCTTTACAGTGATGAATTAAGTTTGTGCTGGTATATACTTTACAGTGATGAATTAAGTTTATGCTGGTATACCCTTTACAGTGATGAATTAAGTTTGTGCTGGTATATACTTTACAGTGATGAATTAAGTTTATGCTGGTATACCCTTTACAGTGATGAATTAAGTTTGTGCTGGTATATACTTTACAGTGATGAATTAAGTTTATGCTGGTATACCCTTTACAGTGATGAATTAAGTTTGTGCTGGTATATACTTTACAGTGATGAATTAAGTTTATGCTGGTATACCCTTTACAGTGATGAATTAAGTTTGTGCTGGTCTATACTTTACAGTGATGAATTAAGTTTATGCTGGTATATACTTTACAGTGATGAATTAAGTTTATGCTGGTATACCCTTTACAGTGATGAATTAAGTTTGTGCTGGTATATACTTTACAGTGATGAATTAAGTTTATGCTGGTATACCCTTTACAGTGATGAATTAAGTTTGTGCTGGTATATACTTTACAGTGATGAATTAAGTTTATGCTGGTATACCCTTTACAGTGATGAATTAAGTTTGTGCTGGTATATACTTTACAGTGATGAATTAAGTTTATGCTGGTATACCCTTTACAGTGATGAATTAAGTTTGTGCTGGTCTATACTTTACAGTGATGAATTAAGTTTATGCTGGTATATACTTTACAGTGATGAATTAAGTTTATGCTGGTATACCCTTTACAGTGATGAATTAAGTTTGTGCTGGTATATACTTTACAGTGATGAATTAAGTTTATGCTGGTATACACTTTACAGTGATGAATTAAGTTTGTGCTGGTCTATACTTTACAGTGATGAATTAAGTTTATGCTGGTATACCCTTTACAGTGATGAATTAAGTTTGTGCTGGTATATACTTTACAGTGATGAATTAAGTTTATGCTGGTATACCCTTTACAGTGATGAATTAAGTTTGTGCTGGTATATACTTTACAGTGATGAATTAAGTTTATGCTGGTATACCCTTTACAGTGATGAATTAAGTTTGTGCTGGTATATACTTTACAGTGATGAATTAAGTTTATGCTGGTATACCCTTTACAGTGATGAATTAAGTTTGTGCTGGTATATACTTTACAGTGATGAATTAAGTTTGTGCTGGTATATACTTTACAGTGATGAATTAAGTTTATGCTGGTATATACTTTACAGTGATGAATTAAGTTTGTGCTGGTCTATACTTTACAGTGATGAATTAAGTTTATGCTGGTATATACTTTACAGTGATGAATTAAGTTTATGCTGGTCTATACTGCTTCATTTTGTTTGTACTGTTGTGCACTGGTACATTAACTTAATGCACGTAAACACATATAGGTTTATAGCTCCACGCTGAACAAGGTCCTCCGCGAAACTGTAACAGGTCACCCAGATATCAGGGGGATTTACCTGGCATTGGGTCACCAGGTCGAAGTTTCTAAATAAGAACATTTAGCTCTTCAGAGAATAGCTTTAAGGTTTATCATTTCATCAATTGTTATCCTTTTCACTTGCATTGTTTGTCCAGCCCACTACGAATCTCTCCAGGACAAGTTGGCTCAGCTTCGTGATGCCAGAGAAGCCCTAAATGCTCTAAGGGATGAACATCGTGAGAAGAGACGGCGTGAGATGGAGGAACTGGAGCGACAAAGACAGATTCAAATGGCACAAAAACTGGAAATCATGAGACAGAAAAAACATGTATGTATTAGAATAAACCCATTATTCAATATTTTCCTATTTTGATGAAAAAATGACACACTTAATCATTTTGTAAGCTGAAAAATAGCTGTTAACTTAAGATATTCATATTGCACTTAACTAGTCATAATAGAAATAACTAAAATATTTCTGTTAAAATCAACAATCAACAAATAAGGGTGAGACAATTTTTATTGTTTTTCACATTCTGTGCTGAGTTGTAATTCATCAAGGACAGAAATGTGAATTCCATCAGACATGTAACTTTATACACTTACCTCTTACAACTTGCTGAGTGTAACAAAGTGGTCCTCTAATGTTTTAAACTTGTTCAGATATGTAATTTTCAAGAAAGCAAAACAAAAAATGATTTTATCAAAACTTAAAACCTTGATAAAGCATCCTTAATTTACTCGACATCCCAGCTACCGTTAAAGTATTTAAATGTTGCCGTTAACTGGTTTTTAGGTCACCTGAGCTTTAGCTCAAGTGACCTATTGCTATCCGTTTTCGTCCGTCGTCGTCCGTCGTCCGTCGTCCGTCGTCCGTTAACATTTTACATTTCAAACTTAAAGTCAAGTTCTGCTGGGCCGATTGAACTGAAAGTTGGTAGGAATGATCGCCTCATGGTCCTGACAAAGTGTTGTTATTTTTCGGGTCGATCAGAAATCCAATATGGCCACCACGGCTGCCATTTTGGAAAACTATTTCAAACTTAAAGTAAAGATCTACTTGGCCGATTGAACTGAAACTTTGTAGGAATGATCGAATCATGGTCCTGACAAAGTGTTGTTATTTTTCGGGTCAATCAGAAATACAATTTGGCTGCCATGGCCGCTATTTTGCTACTAAGTTCTAATAGGCCGATCTCACTTAAAATTGGTCTAGGAATGATCAGCTCATGGTCCTGACAAAGTTAAGTTAACATTATACTATTTTTTACTCAAATTGGTACATATTTCAACAACAAAAATAAATACTATAGACTCAGGTGACCGTTAAGGCCCATGGGCCTCTTGTTATTTATTAGTATAATTTCTGTATACATCTTCCTGGATATATGGCTTATAACATCAATATTCATTGGAACAAATTGTTATAAAAAATTCAGTAAATATCAATGGTTAGCCGTACTGTAGATACCGTAAATTGAGGTCATAAGACATATTTTTGACATGGACTAAACAGAAAAAATGTTCTGATGTTAAAAATCATATTATGAATGCAAATCGTTGGTGATGTAAAATTGTGAATAAGCATTTGTTATAGGTTAGCAACAACTATGTTCCTTAATGGCTATGGCCTTTTCATAAGTTGACCATTTATTTGGTAAAAGGGTAAATTCCACTATCAAACTTTTAACTATCTCTTTACTGGCTAACTGTGTGTGACATATCTGTGTAATGTATTTGTGTAGGAGTATCTTGAGATGCAGCGACAGCTAGCTCTACAGCGACTTCAGGAGCAGGAGAGGGAAATGCAGATGAGATTTGAGCAGCAGAAACATCTCACTCAGATGAGACAGTACCAGAATTATGGCTACCCCCAGGTTCCAGTAAGTAACAATGGTTACCCCCAGGTTCCAGTAAGTAACAATGGTTACCCACAGGTTTCAGTAAGTAACAATGGTTACCCCCAGGTTCTAGTAAGTAACAATGGTTACCCCCAGGTTTCAGTAAGTGACAATGGTTACCCCCAGGTTCCAGTAAGTAACAATAGTTACCCCCAGGTTTCAGTAAGTAACAATAGTTACCCCCAGGTTTCAGTAAGTAACAATAGTTACCCCCAGGTTTCAGTAAGTAACAATGGTTCCCCCCAGGTTTCAGTAAGTAACAATGGTTACCCCCGGTTTCAGGAAGTAACAATGGTTACCCCCAGGTTCCAGTAAGTAACAACGGTTACCCCCAGGTTTCAGTAAGTAACAATGGTTAACCCCAGGTTTCAGTAAGTAACAATGGTTACCCCCAGGTTCTAGTAAGTAACAATGGTTACCCCCAGGTTTCAGTAAGGAACAATGGTTACCCCCAGGTTTCAGTAAGTAACAATGGTTCCCCCCAGGTTCCAGTAAGTAACAATGGTTACCCCCAGGGTTCAGTAAGTAACAATGGTTACCCCCAGGTTCCTGTGAGTATCAATGGTTACCCCCAGGATTCAGTAAGTAACAATGGTTACCCCCAGGTGTCAGTAAGTAACAATAGTTACCCCCAGGTTCCAATAAGTAACAATGGTTACCCCCAGGATCCAGTAAGTAACAATGGTTACCCCCAGGTTCCAGTAAGTAACAATGGCTACCCCCAGGTTCCAGTAAGTAGAAATGGTTACCCCTAGGTTCCAGTAAGTAACAATGGTTACCCCCAGGTTCTAGTAAGTAACAATGGTTACCCCCAGGTTTCAGTAAGTAACATTGGTTACCCCAGGTTTCAGTAAGTAACAATGGTTACCCCAGGTTTCAGTAAGTAACAATGGTTACCCCCGGTTTCAGGAAGTAACAATGGTTACCCCCAGGTTCCAGTAAGTAACAATGGATACCCCCAGGTTTCAGTAAGTAACAATGGTTACCACCAGGTTCCTGTAAGTAACAATGGTTACCCCCAGGTTCCAGTAAGTAACAATGGTTCCCCCCAGGTTTCAGTAAGTAACAATGGTTACCCCCGGTTTCAGGAAGTAACAATGGTTACCCCCAGGTTCCAGTAAGTAACAATAGTTGCCCCCAGGTTCCAGTAAGTAACAATGGTTACCCACAGGTTCCTGTAAGTATCAATGGTTACCCCCAGGATTCAGTAAGTAACAATGGTTACCCCCAGGTGTCAGTAAGTAACAATAGTTACCCCCAGGTTCCAATAAGTAACAATGGTTACCCCCAGGTTTCAGTAAGGAACAATGGTTACCCCCAGGTTTCAGTAAGTAACAATAGTTACCCCCAGGTTCCAATAAGTAACAATGGTTACCCCCAGGTTTCAGTAAGTAACAATGGTTACCCCCAGGTTCATGTAAGTAACAATGGTTACCCCCAGAATCCAGTAAGTAACGAAGGTTATCCCCAGGTTCTAGTAAGTAACAAAGGTTATCTCCAGGTTCCAATAAGTAAATGGATAACCTGTAATACCAACCACATTGCTATAGAGTTCATGCTATACTACGTATCACTGGTAAAACTGTTACCACAGGCTGCCAGTTAAGACTTAGTTTTTTTTTGTTTCGTCTTTTTTGACAATTTATGACAAACTCTTTGCCTGTTTCACTTACACTAATTTACGTTGCATTTTTCTTCTGCCTGTTAAAATATTGTTGATGTTTACTTGTTTATGTTTTGTAGCAGCAATATGGCCACGTACCACAGATGCCAGGAATGATGCCACCAGCACCTGGTATGATGCAACAGGGCATGCCACCACCACAGCAAGGTATGCCATCTGTTCAGATGCAGACAGGGATACCCCCAGGAGCTAGCCAGGCATTCAGTCCTGGAGGATCACTAGATGGCTCCCCAGTACACCAACTACACCAACAGCCACAGGGCTATGCCCCTCAGGGAGGCATGGTCCCTGCTGGTGCTTCAAACATGGGTGTGGCCCCAGGAAGCATGGCACAAGGACCTATGGTGGCAGGGGGTATCAGTGGGGCACCAACTCAGATGGTCTCTAGTCAACAGATGTACACCCAGCCTGGTTCACAGCCAGGATACAGCCAGGCAGGTGCCCCCTATCAAGCCATGGCCTCAACTATACCAACAGCCAGTCTATCTGGAGCCTACCAGGATCCCAGTATGGCTGGACAGAACTACCAACAGCCACTCCAGTACAATCCCACCTCTTCTCCCCCAAACAGTCTACCTTCACAGGGGGGCATGGTGATGAACCCTGGATACAGTGCACCCCCTGCCCAAAATATGGAGTACCAAGCTTTCAACATGCAAGGTAGGAGATGATTTGTTCACTGCAAGACTTGTTGAAAATGTTTCTTCAACGTTCAAAACTATCACCAATTTAATCATACAACTTTTACATATTGGGATCATTTAACAGCCTAAATATATAGTTTTGTCCAAATCCATGTATAAAAATTCCTTAATGTTTGCCCCAACCTGCCACTACAAATGATCAGCTAATCCAGATTTGGAATGAATATTCAGGGACCTGATAACTTGCAGTAACTAATCTGTTGATTTTTTTTTCTGAAACTGATGTAAAAGTTTACTTTAATTGGTTTTCCTTAAGGAATGGCAAGTGCACTACCTTCGCAGACCCAACAGCAGATGTACAACTCGCCCCAGCAACCACAGTACGTGGGTGGGGCCCCAGCTCACCACCCCCAGGGCCAGTACCAGCAGGGGGTGCCTCCTCCACAAATGGCCCAAGCTGCCCCCTCACAAGCACCTCCACCAATGCAACAGGCAGAGGGAGAACTGATATCTTTTGATTGAGATTAATATTAGAATGAATGCTTTCCTGCTGCTTTATAAGTGGCAAGACATTTCATCACCTGTGGACCAGTAACTTGTGTTCTACTTTCATTTTCCATTGATGCTGCACAGACAGTAGGAGTGTGTTCAACTGTTTTATTGTAAATGTATATGTAAAGATTTCAGCAATTTATTTATTTATTAAAGATCAGCAATCAATTTAATGTGAAGCTTAGTTCATAATCCTTTGAAATGTTTTGTAAGGAAATTACTGTGATATATAAATTATATCTTTGGCAAAGATTGGAAACCTATTAATTGTTTTGCTGTTTGCATTAGTTGTACATGTATGAATCAATGTTAATGATATGTAGTTACATTAATTTGATAATTAGGGCCCCATTTCGGAGATACGGGTGCCCTATAGTAATCACTCTGTCTGTCTGTCTGTCTGTCTGTCTGTCCGTCCACAAATTTTGTTCCTGGCTGATAACTTTGGTATTTATTGACCGATGTACATGAAACTTGGTCAAGATGTTAAGTTCACAAAAATACACATTGAGGTAAAAAGTCAAGGTAAAAAGGTCAAGGTCATTAGGTTCAAAGGTCAAGGTCAAATTTTACATCTTTTCACTGATGAACATTTTGTTATGACATTATGAAGCAAAGTTGATCAGAATTAAACAAGGAGTCAACTGACCAAAGGTCAAGGTCATCGGTTCAGGGTTCAAGGTTAAATTTTGTAGCTTTTCACTGGTGAACATTTCGCTATGACATTATGGAGCAAAGTTGTTCGAAATTAAACAAAGAGACACACTGAGGTAAAAAGTCGAGGTCAAAGGTCAAGGTCATTAGGTTCAAAGCTCAAGGTCAAATTTTACATCTTTTCACTGATGAACATTTTGTTATGATATTATGAAGCAAAGTTGATCAGAATAAAACAAGGAGACAACTGACCAAAGGTCAAGGTCATCGGGTCAGGGGTCAAGGTCAAATTATGTACCTTTTTACTGATGAACATTTTGCTATGACATGATGGAGCAAAGTTGATCAGAATTAAACAAGGGGTCAACTGACCAAAGGTCATTGGGTCAAAGGTCAAGGTTAAATTTTGTATCTTTTCACTGGTGAACATTTCGCTATGACACTTTGAAACAATGTAGCTCAGATTAAACAAGGAATCAATTGACCAAAGGTCAAGGTCACTGGGTCAAAGGTAAAGGTTAAATTTTGTATCTTTTCTTGATGAACATTTTGATATGACATTATGAAGCAATTTTGTTCAGAACTTAACACAGAGTCAACTGACCTTAGGTCAAGGTTACAGGTTTCAAAGGGTCTAGGTCAAGTTTTATATTTTCACTGATGAACATTTTGTTATGATATTAAGTTGGTCGGAATGAAAGAATAAGTCATCTGACCAAAGATTGTAGCTCAGATTAAACAAGGAATCAATTGACGGGAAGCAATTTTGTTGACAAAGTGGATCTCTGACTTTGACCCTGGCTCTTGATGGAGGAGGTATATAAGGTTAAATAAAACAATTCAAAGCTAACAAATCAGTATTGCACCAGTATTTACATTTCTGTTAGCCCAGCAAATATGGAGGTGGAAGGAAACAAGACTCGCATCATAGTACATGTAAAATGCATATTTTGCTTCCTTGCGATTCTTTTTGAAGTCCACATATCAAACGTCAAGCTCAGCTATATGGGCAGATTGCTTCTTGCTGATTATGGGGGATATATTGCCACAAGACGGGGCCCTTACTAACCTGTCAGTGTTGTAGTTGTAATTCACTTTTACCAACACAAATAAAAAAGCATTGGGGCATAAGTATGATTATTCAAGAGCTTCAGTGTACCGACAAATTTGTTTAAAGGTCTTCTTTTCTACAAGCATGATAAGATAAGGGCATAAGTATGATGATAATGAGGGGGTGATAATCACTATCAATGTTGAATGCTAATAACGCCGGTGCAAACTGTAATGTCATTGCCCTGATAACGGTTGTCCTGACAGTTATTAATGTCTTTATAAAAATCAGATATTGTACCATTATCAGTCAATATATGCTTGATAAATGTATAAATAAAAGGCAAAATATATGCTTCCTGGAGAAATATGGATGAATGTAATATGTGACAATGACAAATTATAGATCTTGTACACATGTTATGTACATCCAATTGTTTATGACATGCTTTATCAGTGCATAGGATTATTGAGATATTCTCAACAATATATAAATAAATCTGTGTTATTGGAGAAGATGTAAGGATAAGAAAAGACCAGCCAACAAAGTTTTTCCTGTTGACAGAATCCAAAGAATCAGGTCTTACTGCATTATGACAACACTTGTAAGACTGGATTGGATGTGAATTAGTACATATTTGAATACTCTGCTTGCTAGTATCTGAATAATTAACTTTGTCAAACATGGTGAACAAGCAAGTTCAAATGAGTTACCAGAAGAGAAGGTATGTCCGTTTGATATTTTAATCAGTATAAGTGTATGAATGTACATTTTTGATTTGTGGATCACATTATTGTATCATTTAAATTCACCTATTATTTTTGTTCTTAATAAAATGTATTACAAATAAAAAGATTGTTTTTGTCAGATCTTAAAAATGTTTAATCATGGAATACTACTAGTATAACTATGATATGTTGAAAGCCAGATTTAAGGGGTAGGAACAATCAAACCTGTCAGGTTCACTGTAATCATGGGATACTACTAGTATAACTATGATATGTTGAAAGCCAGATTTAAGGGGTAGGACCAATCAAACCTGTCAGGTTCACTGTAATCATGGAATACCACTAGTATAACTATGATGTGTTGAAAGCCAGATTTAAGGGGTAGGACCAATCAAACCTGTCAGGTTCACTGTTGTCATGGAATACTACTAGTATAACTATGATATGTTGAAAGCCAGATTTAAGGGGTAGGACCAATCAAACCTGTCAGGTTCACTGTAACCACGTGTGACTGGCCAACACGCTGACAAAATAGAAATAGTGAAAAAGTGGATTCTAGAAAGGTACATGCAGCACAACCAGTTAAGCGTATATGTTTGGCGTTTTGATGACAGGTACCGTATGTTCACCGTCACCTTCATCAGACCAGTCACCAGTGAAGCGGGTGTTCACAAGGGGAAAATATGTACGAGTTGGCCATATACAATCATCACTGATTCTAAGTACTTCAGGATGACTATGGGCCTTTTTTGGCTTTATTTCTTGAACACCAGAATTATACTGGCTTCCCTCCATACCAGTTTACAAGCAAGAAAAACATATTGTCCGTGGCTTGAAGGTTGGTCCTTACATTTCATCTGACACGCTGGTCTGAACGAAGACATTGTTGTATATTCTTGTTAAAAATACCAGGACGTCGGAACCCCTGCACTGTCTTTACCTCGATATTAGCAAGCTTTGAAGTGAACTTGCCAAAGGCCTGTATTGCCGTGTCTATTACTGGAAACCCATTTTCAAAATCTTGAATGGATGCTATGGAGATTTGTGGGGTTTTTTTTAGAAAAAGGGGGTAAAGGGAGGTGAATTTCACACGTTGAACATGTCACCCTTGGAAATCTATATAAAAGCAGTGTGTTTAAAATTAGCAAAACCAGAAAATAATCTTGTCCATAGCAATGCGAACAACCTACTTTGTAAAGCACTACAAGCATATTTACATAGCGAGGATGTCCTAATGATAAATGTTTTTTGGCGAAATACTATTTGTGTTGGGGTTTACACGTTCACCACCTCTACAATAAGCGAAATTCCAGGGTTCACGCTTACTTACGCTCTCTATCCCTTGGATATGGCATTGTTAACCGAGAGAGAGTGCAAGTGAGCGTTATACCTGTAGTAGTGAGTCTCGGCAATATGGATACAAAGGGATTCTGAAGAAGGGAGATACACATAACTTGCCCTTAAACTTCATTGCATTCAGAAATGCTTACGTTTGTCCTTAACGCGAAGAATGTTCGGGACTACTACCAACAAATCATACCACGATCTCCTCTTTGTCACCAATATATCTACAGATATTTATTTTACAATATGCCAATAGCAGTCCTCTCATTACCAAACTTAACGAAAACGGTCACACCGATTATTTCAATCTATTTTGATCTAAAATAATTGTTTTTTAAAACCGCATCGTCTTTACTACGAAAAAACTTGAGCCAGAGTTGAAAGAGTCAACAAAAAAGAGACATCAAAGATCTCACAAAAAATTGGAGGGGAAAATTAAGTGATCATAAAAGGAAAGCGTTTCCTCCATTACAGGTAAAACAACCCCCATCGGCATGTCACCAACGATTTAATACAAGGAAGGGGATACTGAAATAGCACAGGTGGAAATCGGGCTACCATGATCATCATCAAATCGGATAACCTCTTCACCACTTATTGAAGAGCTCTCGGCTAGAAAACCCTGGCTAAGACGGTATATACGACGCATGTTTCCAGAAGGTTCTGATCCAGCAATGGCGTGTAAACTCTACAAGATTGTCGTGTAATTAAAAGTCAACATACGATACTACAGAAGATTCTTTGGTATCTTTAAATTTGTAAGGAAAATGAGATGCTCGTTAAGTTGTGGACTTTCGTAACTGTTAGAAAAAACTAGACATGCAAAAAACAACACAACACGTGTATAGCATGTCTTTATTTGGCTGTATAGTTTTATTACATCTCTAGCGTTTACACTCACTATAAATCAATACATAATTATTGTGAAGAAATATCATTAAAGACAGAAGACATAGCTGAAGTATTTACTTATCAATTTTAGTCTGATATTTGTGTTCAGTGTAAATCGATGACATGAATCGTAGGCAAAGTTTTATACTTTTTTTATTTGGCGAGTAACAACAATATCGGCTCATGTAAAAAGGAGGGAGAAGAGATGACAGCAGGGCTGACATCCAATGTCTTGTTTATGGCAAGCCAAGTTGTCATTTATTCATGGAGCAATGTTGATCCAGTACTTAACCAAATTATATAAGATATCTTATATACTTTATAAGATATCTTATATAATAAATGNTACATGTGTAATACCTGTCTGTAGTAGTAACTACATGTGTTATACCTGGCTGTAGTAGTATATATATATATTGCTGAGCATCAAAATTTGGATACACTTTTGTTAGAATTTTGCCAGGAGACTTGTCCTAACTCAGTGCCTCTTGTTTATTATAAAACACAACAAAGATATCTTTATAAAGAAATATTGAGAAGGTTATATAATGATTTGTATACAGATTATACAAACTAGTAAACAGGGTATATAAGAAGTGGTTTACAGAGTATATAAAGAATGGTATATAGAGAGTGGTATACAGGGTACATAAAAAGTGGTTTACAGAGTACACAGGGTGGTATACAGTGTATATAAAGAGTGATATGCATGGTATACATAGAGTGGTATACA